CCTATGATCAAGAAAGAAGAGTTAAGAGTAGAGTATGTCGTTTGGACTCTGAGGTAAAATGAAATTACTTGTTACGTTTCTTGTGGTCACAGTCACACAAATCCGGTGAGACCAAGTACATAGGGAGCATGAGATAATAATGAGGGGAATGATCGGTTTTGCCGTCCCCCTAGTTATAAAATGAGTCAACTCAGAAGCAGGAGCAGAGGATCTCACTGCTGTCAAGACACAAGCACCATAAAGAGAGCGCATCATTTGGACCCTGAGATCCTTCCAAGCTGCAGAGGTCAAGAAGCAGTGCCAGCAGAGGTGGAAGTAGCAGTAATGAGAACATGAGACAGCTGCGGGCTCCTGGCCAACAGAACGAGTAAAGTTAAATGTCTTTGGGCTGCTTCCAGAATGGTCTACCTATGGGTATTTATTGGCAGTTTAAAGGAGCTTTGTAATACTTGTCCTGGCAGGGCAAAGGCCAAGGGGCCATGTGACTATGGACCAACCAGAGAGAGGCATGGTTGTGGGCACAGCTGAGAATAGATGCTCCGGACCAGAGGAATGCTTGTTCTTATCCTGAATTGTAACCTGTTAGCTCCCGTAATGAACCTTACTGGGAGTATTGTTAGCACTACGAGATCATTGCAATGGACTATGGAACCCAGAAGGGTGGAATGCCAGGAAGAAAGCTAGATGGTATCAAAATTGGGGAAAGCAGGGTGGAGAGGAGAGACATATTTGACTTCTGCCTCATAGGACTCAGTCTTGGGATATGGAGAGTTGGACTGTCCTGGTGAAATTGGAGGAGGTAAGATGCCACCTCCAAGCCCTCTTTACAGGCACTGAGGTTCTTTCTTGTGCTGAACCACATTGCTCCAGGAGAGAAAGCTGTACCACCAGACAATGACAATCCATGGTGACAACAAAAGCATAAGACAGAGGTGCGGGCTTTCCAGTCTGCAGAGAGCAAAAGCCAAGTGCCTTCAGGCAATATGATCAAGTCCAGCAGAGATGTAGACAGTGATACAGAATGATGTCAGAAGGTGAAAATGGGGAGGGTGGAGGCATAGCTGGCATCCGCCTATGAAGTATAGCTCGGGCTGATAGGAGTTGGCTTCTCCTTGCCCATGAGAAGTCAGATGCTGCTCCACACAATTTGTGCATTGATTAAGAGCCAAGCCATCTATCTAAATGTCATATTTTATCATTTTAACATCCCTTCACTTTAGCAGAAAATAATTTTCCCGGGTTAGTTGGTTAGCAAAATATGTACTGAACTATGGTCAATTGAATTTTTGGTTTATTGCTTTGTTACTATTGCTTTCCAAAAAAAAAAAAGCTCAAAGTAAATTGGTGCTCATATAAGAAAAAGGTGAAGAACATTATTTTACCTATTTTTTTTGGCAAGTATTTTACTATTTTTTTTTTGGCAAAGTGTTTAGTGGTGCTATGGAATAAGCATCAGGCTGCTAGTCCCAAGATCAGTGGTCTAAAACCCACCAGCTGCTTCTCAGACATAAGATGAGCCTTTTTCTTCCTGTGAATTTACAGCCTCAGTAAACCGAGGCAACGGTTCCACTCCCCCCATACAGAGTCTCTCTGAGTCAGAACGGACTCGACAGCAGTGGTTTGGGTTTTGGCTTTCTATGTGGCACCAACTCTCTCCAAATAAACTCACACGTTGAAGTGTAGCATTCCAGTACGGCTATAATTAGATTCTGATACAGACTATAACTCATATTTATTCTGATTTTCCTCTGTCACTTTGATACTTAAATTTTAAGATATAAATGAGCTGTGACCATTTCAATTGATGCCAATAAACTCAAAAGCAAATGTTTATACCCCATTTCATCTCTCACAGTGGGGACTGATGCTTTGGGGATTCATCTATGCAAATGGTAATAAAAAAAGTAGACATTTCCACGAGAAAATGATGAAAACTTTTTGAAGGAAAGATTGAGGACCATTTCATTTCTGGTACATATAGGCAATTCTGAAGTTAACAGATAAGAGCAGACTGTTGCTGTTGCCGGCCTCCCCGCCTGCCTGTGTGCTAATTACGAAGACTTAATTATTGAGGGCTCCTGATTCTGCTCTTACTGGACTTAGGTGCTAAATCAGTTAATAGTTTTTCACTCAGAAAGGGAAAATAAAATGCACAAAGGAAAAAGAACAAATGTAATTGAGAAATGCAATACACCTGGCAGACTAGGGAAAGCAGAGGCCGGATAACACAACACACATGTCATACACTGGAGGGAAGGCAAAGTCATGGCATGCTAGTTCATGCTGGCTGACCTTCCAAGAAAACAGTACTCTGTATAAGTGGAATAAAAATTAAAATAACATCTTTATGTATTAAGACTGTTCAAAGCCAAACCATATTAATTGGAGGTTCTATTGGAGTTGCAATGCATTTCTCTCTTGAAAAAGTTTAAAAGTCCAAATTTAGAAAAGCTTGAGAAACCCTATGATTTACCGAAAAATGCATAAGGTTTATTTGTCTTTTGACTTTCCCCCGTTTGTTTTATAATAATAATCACTTATCTGTATAATGCCGAGCACGACGTTTTTGTAACATTTAATTAAAAATATATATCAACATGTATTGATAACAATGAAAGTAAAGAATAAAAACAAAAAAAAATTTTTTTCCCTGAAATTAAACATTCAGGCGTTATAGGGTTAAATTGCACAATCTGATTTTCAAGTTGTCTCACAAATTAGCTCAGCTGATTGTCATAACTATATGAATGTGGTTCCACTACAAAGGAGAAGTAGTTACTTCTGTGGAACTGAACAGCTAAGTAGTAGTTGGTTCTAGAATCAGTCTTCTACTGCCTCTCAATAGGGATGGCTTCGGCAACCGCTACTAGAAAGGCTTAAGGTGATAAATGTGCCTTATCCATAAGAAAGAGTGGGATCATTTCAAAATATGAAAAATAACTCCAGAGACTTGCATGTACTTAAGGTTTTTTATACAGACTAAAGCGTAAAGCACAGAAAGAAATTATGTCCAACGCCAGCCTTAAAAAGAAATACCACTGGAATCTGCCACCCATTTCTAGCCCACACCTGTGAAACAATTTGATCAGTCTGCATAGCTGCCTTTTTTACTGCAACAACCCTGTAACTATTCTCACGACTTCCAGCTTTGTCTCAATCTCAATTCCATGTGGTGGCTTCAAAAATTTCATGGGAAAATGGCATTAAGAGATACAAGAATTTTTGAAGACCCTTAGTAGAGAGGCAGAGTTACCTTCTTAAACAGCAAGTTTAACCTTGTGCTTCCTACTGAAAGCTCTGTAATGGCTCCCACTTCCCTTAGAACAAAAGATGGACCTGAACTCTTCAGCCTCATTCTTCAACTGGACATTGTTAAATGCCTGCTAAAAAGGCATTTTAACATGCCATGTTCACTCTCGCATCTAAGTTCCTACGCACCTGTTTTCCCAGCTTGGAACTCTCTTCCTTACACCTTAAAACATATCTTCTGAAGAGCCTCTCACTCAAGTAGGTTAGATGCCACTGCGTAAGTCCCTATCCTGAAAACACTTTACTATGACCAGTTGTTGTAACTGCTTGTTTCTGCCCTTGACTGTAATTATGTGAAAAAAGGCCAAGGTTTATCTTATATACTCTATTGCTTCCAGTGCATCTTATTATAGGTACTCCATGACCATTTGTTCATTAGAAATATCAATTAGCTAATCTTTCAAAACTTACACTATTTCAGGTTACAGTATCTTAAAACTTATTTCAATATAGACTAACCTGACAGGCACTGTGGACGACAAAGCACACAATAATGCTCTCAATTTAAATATCTCCTAGTAATTCAGCCAAATATGGTTGAACATATGAATTGAAAATACACTTGTTAGGGAAGGTGTGTTTAGAATATTTTGGATGGAGAAAAGTGCTAAAACTAAAAACCCACTGCTGTCAAGTCATTTCCAACCACAGCAACTACACAGGGCAGAGCACAGCATCCTGGGTTGTCCAAGGCTCTGTCTTTACAGACTGCCACGCCTTCCTCCTGGTGAGCACCTGGCGAGTTCAAACGACCAATCTTTCAATTGGCAGGCGCCTTAACTGCTACATCACCCGGGAAGCTTGGGAAAAAATATCCTACCATAAAAACCATTTTAAAAATAACTGCCTTGAGGAACAGTTGTAAAAACTGAAAAATAATCTTTTTTTAAATCAATTTGTTTTTAACAGTTTCACTGACATACAATTCACATGTACATTTCAATAGTTCAATCACATTTGTAAGAGCCACACAACCCTCACCTCGATCGATGCCGGGGCATTTCTTCTTTGGCTTGTTGTTAGCTCCCAGGTCCCACCAGCCTCCCCTGCCATGTCCCTTTGAGTCTACGAACCCATTTGTGGTTTTTAAAAAGAAAACGATGACCATATTATCTTCGACACTACAAAAAGACTAACACCATTACTCGTTAACTACTAGAATAGAATGCTCCATGGCTGGTACTTTCTGTACTAGCTCTAGAGGGGGATGGCAAGAGCACAGGGTACAGTCCTGAACTGGGTCTTGGCTCCTTCCCACATTCAGCAAACCCTTACTTTTAGGGTACGCAGGCGTCCAGAGGGGGCAGAGATAAGAATCATTAGAAGCTTTTGCAAGTGTTTTCTGAAGAACTCCAAAATACCACAGTAGCAGTGAAAAGCCTTCCCAAACAAGTAACTAAAGGGAAATCAGGCACAATCAAACATGTGAGCATCATATTTCCCACATCAGGCTCAGCTCAAATTGGGCACGCTGGTCATGTTGCCTGAGAAGGAAAGTGAGTCCCTCTCCCTCCACAGAAGCACATCTGATTGAGTAAGAGATCTGGGCTACCCCATGGCTTATCGGTGAGCTACCAAATGGAGCTACCCAAGAGGCTCTTGAAGGTGTCACTTCATTTCTTCATCAACTCTTTCACCACGGAAGAGAGAGAAAATAACTGTTTCAATGTGAAACAATCATCAGACAGTACCTGTTCATAATAGCTGATATTCTCCTCAGCCATATCTGTAAATGCGGACTTGATATCATTCTGCATATTTTGTTTCCATCTTTCCCAATCTGCTTTCATGGCATTATTAGCACATTCCACCTTATCTTCAAGTTTCCCAATCTCTTCTGTAAGCTGAATTAGGCCATAAAGAGAGAAAAATTAGTTGATAGAGTCTTGCCACCAGGTGATTTCATCAAATCAAATCTGAGCATAATATCTAAACAGTTAAAGAATAGCTTTTGCTTACTTATTTTTCCAACAAGGTACTAGTGTTTACTGTGTGCACTAGTTAATGTTTAAAAGAACACTGGGAACCTTCATGAACACTGAGACATTGAGTAGAGTTTAAAGTTTGCCACCAATTAGCTCATGACCTTGGCTAATCTCTAAAGCCCTCGGTTTCATTTTTGCTATTTAGCAAGCAAAGGAAATTGAACTACAAATTATCTCAGAATTCTTTTGCACTTAACATTCTCATCACTAATATCGTTTGCGGTCATAAAGTTTATGTTAACAGATCTGGCTTCATTCCTAACCCTCACTTTTCAATAGGTGTTTTTAGCAGATACCTCAATTAACAGACACATTATAACATCCACAGAAATTATATACTTCAACCTAGAGGCCCAAGGGATTAGCTAACCAAATTTTACTCTTAGCTGGAAAGAGAAGCAGGTTTATATCTCAAGTACCTGACACTTAGTCAATGCCCATGAGGCAGATGGTATGATATTTATACTGTCTCTACTTTGCACAATAATATTTAAACTTGTAATTCATGGGTTTATTCTTTGACTCATATATTCCGCTAATATATATTAAGATATTGCAAGAGCTGGAGATTCCGTAGTGAGGAAAGTGGGTAAAAATTCTTGCTTTTATTAGAGTTTATATTCTATTGAGAGAAACAAACCATAAATAGTAAAATATCAACCATGTTAGTAGGTTAAAAGTGAAAAAGAAGGTGGATGGGGAATGTTACAGTGCTGTAATTTCAGATAAAAGGAGGAGGGCGAGGTAGCACGGGAATAAACATCTAAAGTAACCTGAGAGTGAGAGAAGGGATTTTCAGTGGGAAGAGGAACAGCACAGGCAAACGCCCAAGGTGGACACATGCTCAGCTTGTTCAAGTCACAGCAAGGAGTGCCCCACAGCAGCGACAGTGAAAAAAGAAGCCGAGTCCGAGTACATGAGGTCAGAGAAGCAGTAGCTGAGCAGATGGAACTGGGCGGTGTGCAAAAGGAGCACTTTACATTACCGTGGCTGTTGACAAAAAGCATGGGTAAGACCCTGTTCATTACAACGAATCCCCATTTCAGAGATGCCATGATGTGGGAAGAAAAAAAAAGTGGACCTGTGGGGTCTTAACGGTTTGTATTGAAAACAAGCAGCCATCTCTGCAGGGAATCAACTAAGTCCACACAAAAGCACACCAACTTCTGTGATTCAAAGATGACAATGAAAAAATCTGAATATGGTGAAGGGAAAAGTATCAGAGCTAAAATTCTGAACACTCAGTGTATAGAAGGCTACAGAGGGCAGTGGGAGCCCAAAACCTGTCTGCAGAGTATCTAATCCGACTGAGCTACTGACAGACCCGCTCTAGCCACAGGCCAGTCTCGAACAGCTTGACTAACAGGCAGAGACCACTGTCATCTTGATGCTGCGGACCGAACTCCATACTTGGCCAGAGGACCTCCCTACAGAGCCAAGCCGAATTGGTTCTGGGTGCAAGTATCTCTTACGTGTTCCATGACAGAAATTTCTTCCCCGGTTTTTGGAATGATGAGAAGGATCTTTTTTCTTACTCATTATTTGCACTTTTGTCTTGATCTTATTATTACTTCATCCTTCTCACCTTATTTCCATTTTGGGTTTTATTGTTTCTGCTGGGGTTCCCAGTTTGTGACCCACAGGAGGAGTGGATGCACAGTGGTGGTAACTGATACAAGGGTTGATAGGGGATGCAGGAGTAGGGGGTGGGTTCTAGGGAGGGAAAGGGGATTTCAAGAATGAAAAATGAAGGTGGGAGGGGAAGGAGCACCAGAACTGACTGGGATTGCACACTCATTTTAAAGATTAACCATGGGGGAGGGGGGGGGCGGCAATGTTAAATTGATATGGCAGTGTTTGCATAATCTCTTTGCTGTGATTGAACGATTGAATTGTATGATTTGTGAACTATGTGCCAATAAACTGTTTAAAAAATGTGGACCTGAAGATCAATTAAACATAGTATTTTGCTTCTATTGTCTATTTAAATTATTACTTTTTTATCTATTTCTCTATTAATTCAGTGCAGTGATAATTCTTTTTATTTCTCTGGTAAATGATGTTCGGTATTCTATAAATCTTGTACTGCCGTGAACTTTATTTCAATGGGAAGGTTGACTCTCGTGCGGTTGTACGTTGCTGGCTTCCTTTTCTCTTCTACTTTCTTGTTTTATTGGTAGGGTTGAACTCTCTCAGTGAGACCACTGATTACTTTGTGGCTGTGTGCATTCCTCGGGATGATTATTGTGCTAGACTTTACAGAACATATCTACTGGGATGCTAATGGGGAACCATTAAAGGTAGGTGGTGATGACCTAAGAGTCAAGATTGTGGGAAAAGCTCAGTGGGGATAGTGTCCCTCATTCCTCTGGGCTGTCAGATGAAGTCTTGCCATTTGCATAGTAAGATGGCGATTACTAGGAAATCATCTTTCCTTCATAAAGAACCAAGATGGACATACACTTTTTCTCCTCTGATTAGGTATGACACCAAACATTGCGTTGGCCCATAGTGGGATCCTGGCAGAGTTCCAGTTCCAGTATACAAGTTGCTATTCAGTTAATTCTGACTCATGGTAAAACTGTGCATGTTACAGTGAAACTGTGCTCTATAATGTTCTTAATGGCTGTGTCTTTACAAGTAAAGTGCCAACGCTTTCTTCTAAGGTGCCTCTGAGTACCTGAAGGTTGGACTTGAATTTCCAACTTTCTGGTTAGCAACCAAAAGTACTGACTGTTTGTACCACCCAGGGACCTATTGGCAGAGTACCTTTCTGAAGTTTGGCATAAGGAAACATAGCACTTAAATTATATCATCTACTGATGTTATTATCATAAGACATTTATATACAAATCCTTCCACTGACTCCTGCTGAGAGGAAAGCTCCAGAAATGCTGGTGTGGCAGTGTGATGGTTCTGCTCTGTGATGACGTTGTTTTCCTAGACCAGGAGTATGTGCTGTGACCTCCCCTTC